AGTACAGGGAGTCCCCGGGTTAAGAACGCCTGAGTTACAGACAACCCATAGTAAAAAATGGAGCCTACTGTAGTAAAATTTGAGTTAAATGTACAACAATTCGAGTTAAATACACAATGGTTCAAGTTCATTACACAATACTACTTATACAGTATTATATAATAATACTGTTCTGGCTTACGTACAAATTCGACAAAAGGACAAACCTTGGGAATAGAACTCATACTTAAACTGGGGTCTACCTGTATTTAAATTCCTTGACTCATATACTATAAACTAAAGGTCAGAAGCCTGTAGCTCTTAGGGAAACATATATTTAACTCATGCAACCATATTTTGACTCCATAAGCCAATATGAACTATTACAATCTATAATTAAAATCAGGAAGCATTTAGTTAACAACCATTTCTCTAATTAGCTAATTTTCTCATTTTGTCTTAACCAATAATTTCCAGCAAGAGAACCATATAGCCTCAAACAACTTCATGCTAAACTGGGAAGAGAAGATGTATGCACAGAAAATACTTGCTCCTTTCTTCGTTTGACCTCCCAAACTACCCCAGAGATTTAAGTGTTGTATATTATATAATTAGAGTAACAGAAGAGCCAATACAAGTGTCTGTACATACTTTTACTTACTTAAAAGAAAACAGTTTGCTTTGCCATCTTTGTATATAACAGTGTATTCACTACTTTTATTAAGCACTGAGACAAACTGACATCATGACAACATTTACACATATTAGCCCATGGTATGCATACAATGTACTGTATAATTCACTGAAAAGCTATTAGCCCAATTGCAATGTTGGCTTACTCAACAAATTACAAACACTCTGGCTTAATACAACTTGGAACTGTATTAATCCCCCCCCCCATATGAAGATTGAATGGTTCCTAAAATACATTTTGTCAAACCCCCAAAAACTGCATTATGACTTAACATACAGTATGGGAATATGCTGGAAGGCACTGATAAGCTAACTTACAAAAGAGGCTTCAGTTACTGAAATATTTCAATTTGGACAAAAGCACAGAATCTCAGGTGTCATTCTCAGAACTCATTCATTAATAATCTAAGATTAAATTGAAATCAGTTCTTCACTGATCTGACAGCTACACACTTAGGTCAATGAGTTCTCTTGAGATCATGTTCTCAGGCAAAAAGAAGTCTATTTCATTTTCCATAAATTGTTTGCCTGCCCTGGTCTGTCTCCCAGGTTCTTTGGATAAGTTGACAGTGATCTAAAGCTACATCTTCCCTAAAGATATGAACCCAGAATACAAATTCTGTTGCCAAACAAAGCAAATTAAAATGCATGAATTCTCACTATTCAACAGTAATTGCCACTTTAATTACTTAGCATATAAAATTCAGGAAGCAATTCTATCCTCTGCCAATTGAGCATTTGTAGTCTCATCAGCTACAACTGAAAACATATCATAAGACCTTGGAGATACATAACTTGGCTCCATGTAAGATAAGTGAATGTAGAGCCACAAACGTAATTTTTGGATTTAAAATTAGAGGTTCCAATTAAATAGAAGCTGAGCACTGAAGACTGAATTGACAACTGCTCAGTTAGATATGTATAACACTCCCATCATCTAGTTCTAACACATTTTTGTTTAAACTCCTCCAATTACATTTAAAAAAAAATACAGTAAGCTTTCAAAACCAGGACATCACTTTTGTTAAAGGCTTTTGTTGCACAACTAAAACTGAGTTTCATGTGAAGAATTGCAAATTCAAGCATCAGCTGCAAAGTTCAATTAATGGTCCTGGGAAATTACCATTTCTCGTGTTTCCATATCTTCCTATGTGGAGGCAAATAAAGATACAGGTAGCCCTCGAGTTATGTGACAATTGGGACCAGAATTTCTGTCGCCAAGCGATGTGGTCGTAAAGTGCAATGTAACGTGACTGCATCGCATAGCGACAGCAATCCCTGCACTCCCTATTGATGTCATTAAGCAAGGACTGTGAGTCATTAAGTGAGCACCTCCTCACAACTTCCTGCCAGCTTCCAACAACCAAAGTCAGTGGGGAAGCTGGCAGGACATTGCAAGTCCCAGGTGGCTCGCAACCAGGCCAGCAGGCAGGTAAGTGGCTGCCGCTGGATGGGAGAAGGAAGGGGTGGACAAGTGGGCAGAGAGGCATAGCACAAGGGTGACAGGGCTTGGGGTGGCTGCTGCTGGGTGGGGGAGGGTGCTTGAATGGCTGGGAAGGCATGGCACGAGCGCAGCAAGGCTCAGGGAGGGTGCACAGGTGGGGGAGACTTACCTGAGCAACTTGTAACCTTCCCTGCCAGCTTCCCCACTGACTTTGTTGTGGGAAGCTGGCAGGAAAGGTCACAAATCGCAATCACATGACTGCTGGACACTGCAACCGTTGTAAATGTGAGCCAGTTGCCAAGTGCCCAGTTGGCAATCATGTGACCAGTCATAACCACTGCTCGTTCAGCATCTTTCTCTAATTCCCTGGAAAGTTGCACAATAAAAGTTAAACTCATGCACATATGCCCCCACAGCTATGGAAAGAGGCATCATTAAAGTCTATATTAGCTTACAATATACAAAACAAACAACAAGAAGAAATTTTGACACATTTTTGAGACATTGTGAGAAAGTTTTAGGACAAGGAACAGGAATACAATTTAAAATGGAGAGACAGTTTGGTCTAGTGGTTAAGGCATCAGGCTAGAAGGCAGGAGAGTGTGAGTTTTAGTTCCACCTTAGGCATGAAAGCTGACTGGGTGACTTTGGGCCAGTGACTCTCAGCCCAACTCACCTCACAGGGTTGTTGTGGGGAAAATAGGAAGAAGATTAGGTATGTTTGCTGCCTTGAATTATTTATAAAAATCTTTAGATAAAAAAATCTTTTAAAAAAATGAGAAAATCCCTTAGATTCTGATATTATATTCTCTGTCTTAATTCTTAACTCTACTCCCATATGATTATGTCTATGCAGCTGGATCAACTGGGCATACAAGTTTGCACAATTCAGTACTTTTAAGACATGCTTGTCTGTAATTTACAAATATACTTCTATAAACCTAGGAAATCCCATTTAGGTGCAGAAAACATTCTACCACTCAGGCTGAAAATAATATGGAACCACCCTAAATAAAATTGTCAACAAAGGCTCACTTTTTTATATTATACTTTTTAAAAAGACTTTTATGTGTTCTGTAAAGAAAATTCCAATGGAGAAAAGCATTAAAATATATGAAGGTGTTCAATATAGAATCAGGCAATTACCTCACCTAGTTCAATGTTGTATTCATGGACGGACAACAGTTTTCCAAGGTTTCAGATATTAGTTCTACTAGACTTCCTAAAGTTGCTGGGGATTGAACTGAAAGCTTTTACATTGCAAGGATTACTAATCAGTTGGCTCTACTATCCTCATGCAATAAAGAATTGAGAGTATTTTTCTATATTTTTCCATGAAGCCAATACAAGAGCCAACATTAATTCCTCCAAACTCTGCTTCTAATAAGTAGAAAATGTTTATTATTCTAATAACATATATCTTAGCAATTAAGTGCTTGCCATATTAATGAAGATGTCATTTAGGGCCATGCTGCAGCTTTTTCTGGGCTCAGGTGTCTGACCTCCACAGCTGCAGCACACTTCCAGAAAAAACACATTTGGTTTAAGGACCCATACATTTTAAAGCAGCTTTCCCCTTCCAAATCCATCTTACAATTCATGTTTGTATATTACAACATACGGAATATCAACATCACAAAGGCATTAAGTACAAGCCAGTTCAAAATTGGCTGGAAATCTCTTCTATCTACTAATGAGGTCACTTTTACCGCACCAAACTTTTGTAACAGTACCAAAACATAAAACTTCATGGGTAGCTAACAGCTCCTAATAGCTGATACCCTTGTTTCTATTCACCCAACTTATAAAATCCAAGCATTAAGTAGTAATATTTCTGCTAGGCCAAGAATTGAATTATGAAGCATTAGGCTGCTTATTTCAACGTATAATGGCTTCTTGGAGAAACCTGAGAAACTTGGGTTTTTAAATAGTTCCAATGTTCTACTATTGTACACAAGCAAAAGAAATTTAATACAGCTTGTCTATGTAACTTCATGCTGTGCACATGGATTTTTTCTTCAATATTTTCCCTAAAAAAAATCCAACTGCCTCCTTGGTAAGTGAAACAGTTGAAGCCAATAATATAGCCTTTATGGACATATTAAATGCTGCTTTCATGCATGCATGCATGCGTGTGTGTGTTTCTATCTATCTATCTATCTATCTATCTATCTATCTATCTATCTATCTATGAGAGAAGCGCCCTGAGAAAGTGTTCCTGTACTTCTTTCAAAGCTTCTACCTTCCAGTGGCCAAACTGTGACTAGCGAAAAGGAATCTGAGCCTCTTCATATAAGAGATCTTGCCGTCACACCTTTCAAGTGCCAGAGTTACCCCTTAAAGTAAGCCATGGTGGGTAACGACCAGCAGGCACACATCAGCAAAAGGACCGAGTCGGGGAGGGAGCTCCGAAGCCTGTGCAAATCGAATGCCCGAAAATTTCCTCTCAGGGAGTCCAAACCCCGTCCCTACCACCTCACTTCCGAAATGACCTGGTCGAGGAAACGGAGGACGACCGGGTGGCGGAGGAGGCAGGAGACCGCCGGCCCAGGGACGTAGGCCGAGCAGCGAACGCCAGCTCACGTCCTCCCAAGATGACTGGGGATCCACGTTCGGGCAGCACCCGGCTGCCCAAACAGTACCCGGTGCTGGCCGCAACAGCAGCAGCGCCTCCCTTCTGCCTCGCTTCCTTCCTTTATCCTCCAGAGCGATCCCGGCGCCGCCCCCGCCCACCCGTCGGGCCTAGGCGCCCGCACCTCTCACAAGCCTGGCACCCCTTCGAGGGGCCCCAGGTCCTTGCCGCGCACCCTCCATCAGCCGAGCCGCGGTCAAGCACAAAGCCCCACCGGCGGCGCAACAAACTCCAAGCGCGACATCCACCTACCTGACAAGCTGAGCCCCTCCACCACAATACGCCTGCCACCCGCCCCGCCTATGTCACGGGCGGACGCCCCGGCGAATCCGCGCTTACTTCTCCCGCCGCTGACAGCCAATCGGCTCCAAAGCAGCTCATGCTCGGCAGCCAATCCGCACGCCACCCAGCCCTCTCGGCGACGGGGGAGGCAGCTGGTCGGTAAACCAGTGGATGGAGGCGAAAGTGGTGGCCTCGGTCCTCAAAGCGAAAAGGCTATTGGCTGAATCGTGTCGATTGGGTGGGCCAACGAGTGGGGTTTGATTTGATTTCCTCTCCTTGAGTAAGGAAAATGGGTTTAGTATTCCAGCTAGGAAAACATTGGTGGGACGTGGGGGCAGAGGGATGATATGGCAGTGTAAAGCTCTTCCTGCTATAACCCTGACTGGATGTTTCGGGTGTAGCTCATCAATGGGTTTTCTTCTAAAGTTTGCAGTGTACTGTATTAGAATGAGCCTCATCTGAATTCAGCGGGAGCCCCCTGTGTGTCCCAGTATAAATGCGCTGAAGACTATGACTTAATTTTTCTAAAAGTCCCCGTAGGTTGGAATGGGCTGCTCTGTGTATATGGTTTCACCAGCATGCAGATGAAAAAGACTGTTACTAAAGCTCAGGCCATTTTTGTTCCAAACCATAGCTGCAAATTACGTCAGGAAGGAAACTGAAGCCACCTTACCCTCACCTTACTCTCCACTATTCTATTCTGCAATAGTTGGGGCTTCCGGACAAACTTACTGTATAGCAGCAGCCCCACATATTCTGTAGTCTGTCATCTACAGAAATAACTCCCAAAGAACCTATAATGTTAAAAGAGTAGTCACAGTGAAAATACAGTTTTTAGGATTGGCCCAAGTGTACCAGAACAACATAAAGTTGATACTGAATTTCATTTTATTTCATGCCTCAGACCAAACATATCTGTCCATATGATAGAATTACAGTGATGAGTAGCAAATGCAAAGTGCAATTTCCAAGGTAACTAAGCTGAACTGATGTCTCCATTCTTCTGTGTGTCGCTTCCATAATGAGAATAAAGATTTCTAATCTCCCTTGAGCAATTGCAAATAACTATATGTGAAAATGAGGTCCACAGAAATCTGCCACCAAAGAAAATCATTAGAATTGTGTACCTCAGCACACGAAAGTATTTATTATACAGATTCACAGCATCTAGTGCTGCATTCTTGTCAAGTGGAGGTTGGTCAATATAATAAAAATGAATGCTATAGCACTACTTCTCTTACATTTAAAGTATTGATATCATTTAAGGTGGAGGCAAGCAGAATATAGGATCTACTTGGTAATACATTCAAGAATTGGATACCAGTATCCTGTCAGCCCCACTAGGTAGATCAGACCAGAAAATCAACTCCACAGGAATACTAGAACTATACTTTTTTTTGAGACAGGCTATAATAACAGAATCTTGCAAGTCTGATTGTGTTATTCCTCCCCTCCTTCTTATACCCCACTGAATCAGCGAGATGTTTGCTTAAGCCACTTCCAAATACTGTTTTATCTTGCTTCCCAGAATTTAAGAGAGAATGTTTCAGTCTAGGTAACAGTTCTTGCATATTTCTGTCAAATTTCATGCATACCTCCACACTATTATAGGTTTATTCCAGCCAGAGGGAGTTAAATCAGAACTATCTATTGTAATAAATAGGGCTGCTAATAGACCCACACATACACACACTTCTAAGTTTCATTTAAGAGTTTTGATGGGTATATTATCCTGGCTGGGAGTATTAACAGATTTTCCAAAATTTTGTACAAAGAAGCATTTATTAATAATGATCAGGAGTTTTTCTCTGCTTTTTTGGGATAATTTGTGAAAGCCAATTTATCGGTCACAGGTTTAGAGTTCCAAAGTATATTAAACAACTTAATAGCAGAGTTCTTGCATTTACAGCATCTAGAGTTAGCCCTAATTGAATCTTTAGACATTAGAGGAAAGGAAGATTGCTTTGTGTCAATGGTTGCTTGAGTTTGACAAGCAATTGATTTTCTTCTCTTGTCACAAGGTTTCAGTTGTCATTGAGTTAGAGGCTATGTTATCATTTTTATGATCTATGGTTAAAACCTTGTTTGATATCTTGCTTGGCTTTCTTTCTCTTCCCTTTTGCTTTTATTGGATGCACCCATAAATTAAATAGACTGTTAAATTTTAGACCCAGCCAATTTAGCCAAAATAGACACAGCCAATTGACTTCCTTTGCAGTTCTTAATATTTTTACTTTTTTTCTTCAGCTGTCTTGTTTCAGTTTAAAGTTTTAAAATAATTTCTTTGTGTCTCACAATCATTTGGGTCTGAGCCTTCTTCTCTGGAAATCGATGGTTTGCATTTTAGCTTTGGGCATTATAAAAAGTTTTTTCTCTTCTGTGAACCAGAAGGGGCTCTGTTTAAAGGTAGGCTAGGTATTTGAAATGATAAAGTGGAAGATTTTTTATTTACCAACAATGGTCATCCTTTTTGCTGATGGCCAGAGACCAAGAAATTGTTTTCTAATCGTCATCACCACCACCACATGGAGTTGATAAAACCACGTATGCGGGTGCATATGCTCACAAATCAGCCATTACAGACATATTGAGAAAAGCTCCATCTGTAAACCATTCAGAAAAGAAAGTAACCAATGGTCAAAGAAAGGGGCAGATATCCCTAAATGCATCCTTCCTCACCACACACCTATTAACCAACACCCAGATAAGTAGGAACCAACACCAATAGCCCATTCAAAATAATCAAGGAAGAAACAATACCTCGGTCAAGTCAAGCAGGACAAGCTACCATGTATAGACAGCCAGCAAATATAACTCCCCGTACATTGATGATATTACCTACCCTCGGTAATGAAATGTCTGTAAGAAGAAAAGCAAGCTTAAAGAACACCAAGAAGCCAACTGGTTAAAATGTTTTCACATTGCAGTAACCCTTCCAAAATCTGGAAAAACAAATCTAGTCAAAGACGAGAGCTGGACAAATTTGTAAACCTCAGATAACCATGACTAGAAGTTCAATTCTGATAGATAGATAGATAGATAGATAGATAGATAGATAGATAGATAGATAGATAGATAGATAGAT